CATGCTGGAGATGAGCCAGGCCGCTCCCAGATGCTCTCCAACCCCGCCCCCCCACCAAGGACTGGTGAAACCCCAGCACATCACATAAACTAGGGTAGGATGCTGGTGCATGAGGGCACAGGCGCTTCCCAGAGGGTGACCACAGTTCATAGTTTTCATGCAAGAAAACCAACATAATGTGGCCAGACATTCTCATCTTTTTCAAGAGGGCCCTAAATATTTTTTCCAAGAGATAAGCCCTAGTGGGGGTTCTGATACCAGGAATAAGTGATGTGACCTTAGACATGACTTTTCTCTTTCTGGGCTTTAGCTTCTTCCTCATGTAAAATGAAATATTTTAATGGGGGAAAAATCCCCCCATTTTTAAAAGGTGTTTAATGACATGGGGTTTGTCAAACAAATGTCATGTGCAGGCCAAGTTCAGTCCACACAGTGCACCAGCCTCAAACCTGTCTTGAGACAGCTTAACACAGTCCTTGTGTGCTGATAACTAGCCCAGAGGTAGGGTACAGAATTAAAGGTTTGGGATCAGGATGGTCTTTTAGTATGACTTTTGAGTCAGCAAATGATATTCATTATCACTATAAATAGCTGATAACTTCCGGCACAATTTCAGTGGGCCTCTCCTCTGACCAACAAGAAATTGACTAGCTGCCCAACACTGAAGGTTCTTTGTTTAAACTTTGGTTCTATCATTCTGAGTACTAAGATGAGCCCACTAGGACAACCAAGAATTCAACAGCTCTTCCCAAATACTGATCCTCTCAAATCCCACTGAGCCTCTCAGAGTCATATGGAGTATGAAAGAGCCTGCAAATTAGTCACTGCCCCAGGGATAGGAAAACTCCAATATGTCGGAAGATGTAAGGTTTGGCGACCAAGCAGGTAGTCCAGTCTTGCCAAAATAATTGAGAATTTACGACTTTAAGGAATTATAGGACTTTTTTTTTTTTTAAACATTAAAGTTACTGTGCATTCTAGAGAGATTGGAGAGTCACTTTTGCCTGGTTTTAAACTTGGGTGTATTCTTGCCTGTTTGGGGAGACTCATTCAGAATTTGTCTGCCTAAAAAAAAAAAATGGTCTCTTAGGAAGTCCCTGAGTTAATGTTCTATAATGCTAACTGGCCTTGCTTGCCCACTTAAAATTAAATATTTACTTTCCTTACAAGCCATATGATTTCTACTTAATACTTATTTATTTTCCATGTTTGGTACATTTGGCCATTTAGATGCTGTTGCTATTAGGTAAAAACTGATATCCCCCCACTCCCCACTCATTATGTAGTTTACAATGCAGAGTCAGGACTAATGTGATTAAAAGTGACATTTTATTAGGTCAAAGCATATGAACTGACACTAGTCAACTGTACTGATCTATAGAATGGGCATTTCACGCGGCTGAACATCAAAATATTTCCCTATGATCAAGAGAACAGAGACTTGACTATTTAGAGAATAACAGCTTCCCTAGACCAATGTTATCTGACAGAACTTTCTGTGATGATGGAAATGATCTAAATCTACACTGACCAATATGTGACTACTGAGCACTAGAAATGTGGCTAAGAAACTGATTTATCTCATTTTACTAGTTTTAAAGTCAAACTTAAATAGCTGTATGTGGCTATGGTGCCGGACAATACCATTTTTCATAGCAACTTCTTCGGACGAGAACTAGAAGTCCCTCATTTGTATGTATAGATTTGAAGATCCAGAAGAGAGATGCTTCATAAAGAAATGAAATTCAAAGTACCTTCTTGCATTGCCACTTTACATTTTCAACTGACTCTCCACTTTCTCGACAGTGAAACTTAATTTTGGTCTTCTAGTTCTATGTTGTCTCTGGGATAATTACTGTCCCTAGAAGGTAGAATTGTACAGCCCCACAGAATGTTTGGAAGGCAGAGTCCAGGTCACCTAGAAACTGGCAACAAAAACAAGTCTAAACACCTCCTGATCTGCTGGGCCTCCCCATTCTCATCCACCAAATGGGTGATAACTATACCTATCCTAAAAAATAAGGTTGTTGTCAGTCCTAAATGTACATTAAAGTTATGAAATCTGATTATAAACAGTAAACCTTAAAAATCAAGTTGTGTTCAGTTTCATTTATCTCATGAAACAGCTGGATTAATTACTGAGGATATTTTAACCAGAGATGGTAGATTATCCCACTTAATCAGTATTAATTATGGAAACCCTCTATCTCCAAACTCCAAGATCCCTTTCTTGCCATCCCTCAATCATAGCCTCCTCCAGGCTTCAGCTAAATCAGGAGTCCTGTGATTCAGGTCTGCACCACTCTGTGTCAAAGGAAACTTACTAGATCTTATCCATTGTAGGCCTGGGATATACAGAAGGAAAGCACAGTCCCTACCTTCATAATTCTGACTGACCATTTTTCCCTCTGGAAACAAGATTTTAACAAAAAAAAATCCGGTATCTCAAAAGAATTGTTGTCTCTGATTCTGTGTCATTTGTCTATTAGTTAAAGCTCCCAGCGATAAAAGAATGAGTAAGAAGAATCCAGGATTTTACACTTTAAAAAGGTATTCTGCTGCATAATAAACCAATATTCCAATTAAATCATTTGCATTCAACCATTTAAACTGAATTTGGTGCTATATAATTATTGCAGCCTGTAGAGTTAGGGCTCATTTCAGCAAAGAGCATAATTGCTCAAATGATTCGATTCAGGATTTATTTAAAACTCTCCCATCAACAAAAAATATCCTTATACCATGGTACTGCTCTAACTTCTTAATCTCTTTCTGAAATGGTCAGAGGCAGACTTCTAAGTATGGAAGGGTAAAGTTCTCTTATAACACAGTGCCTATAGCCCTACCCACTGGAAACCCTCTGTTTCTAAACCCCAGGACTCCTTTCTTGCCCTCCTCTGGGGTGTGGCCAGGCAGCCCAATAATATGGGTTTGCCCTGCTATCCAACTCTGCCCTGTTCCATACAAAGGGAAACTTACTAGGAGGTCTGCCCTGACCTCTCCTCCTCTACTTAAATCAAGAAGGAAGTGGCATCTCCAGGACCTCAGAACCGGAAGGTACTTCTGGAAGGGAAACAAGTTGGCAGACCATAGCGGGCTGACCTTTGGAAAGTTCATAAACAAATTAAGACATCACCAAAGTTAGATAGCATGCTGCAGAATCACTGAGATTTCTCGGGGTATCCAATTAATGAGCAGTTAAGACAAACAAGGGCAGTTGGAAAAGTATAAGGAGGTGGAAGGGAGGTAGAATGCTCCCCAACTGCATAGGGCTTGTGTAAAATGTGCAGTTGTTCAGCCTGGGATATGAAACCCTACTGGGTCACTTTCCCCAAACTTCAGAAAATTCCATCCAGATACTGGCAACCAGGAAGATTTCAGCACACTGAGTGAATAGCTGGGCAAACAGAGACGTGGGAGTCTTCCAAGAGCCTCCAAAGTTTCATTTCCTTGGTGCTTCCAGTCTCTCCTAACCTCTGACCTACGGAGTTATTGCCAAACTGCCTGCTGTTTGCACAAGGTCCCAGCACTTCCCTGCACAGCTCCCCTGACCCCATCGTGAGTGGGTGGTACTATCTCCAGGCTACAGATAAGGAAACCCAGGTTCAGAGAGGTTAGGGGACCAGAGATATGTAGTCTAGCAAGTGGAATCCAAACTTGTGACTTCTGCAGGCTGCAGGCCTGTGGTCTGCAGTAGGCAAGTAGGAGCCTGGCTCCACCTTGCTCCTGTGTCCGGCACGTCCCTAAAAATGCATCCCAAAAGGACAAGCCAACACTTGTTGACTACTTCCTACATGGGTTGGTCCTCCACAGCTTTCTCTAAAGTACAGAGAATCAGGAGCCCCATTTTTCAGACGAGGAAATTGAGATGGCCCCTCACCCCAAGCCCGAGAAAGATGACTTGGTCCTAACCTCCACGGTGCATGGACACCAGACAGTGCCACACCTTGTGATTTGTAATGCAAAGGGGATCCCTAAAGCATCTCTGAGCCCCAGTGGAAACTCGGGCCACAGTAACACTCTCCCTACCAAAAGCGCAGGAGGGGAGCCTGGCGGGCTGGGGCAGGCAGCGGGCTGGGTGCCAGAGCGCTTGGCCCGCCGGGCCGGAGGTGCCCGCTTCCGCTTGGGCCTGGCACCGCCGACCCATTCATAGTGGCCGCGGGAGGGGCAGGCCGAGCTGGGCCCGGAGTGGCCCTGACCCCCGCCGGGTGCCCTCGTGCCGGACTCCGCGCGGCCCCGCGGGGGAAACGGTGCCCCAGCCCCGCCGCCAGGGGGAGCAGGGAACCTCGTCCCGCACTCCGGGAAGTTGCCACCACAGCCGCCCGAACGTCCGCGCCCGGGACGGCAACCTGGGGCGTCCGCACAGCACGCCTACGGCCCGGGCCCGCCCCGTCGGGTCTTCCAGAATCCCCCAAGACACCGCCACTCGGCGGCCCGCAACCGGGCGCACTCGGCCCTCAGGTTGCCCATTCAATCCCGCCTTCCTCCCCACGGCCTCCACCGCCTTCCGCCAGCTCCCCCCCACTCCTCCGGCCCGGACTCCAGCCCGGCAACGTCATCCGGCGGCTTCCCGAAACTTAACCCCTTCCTCCGCCAGCTGTGCGCCGCCCCGCCCCGCCGCCAACTTTCTTCGCCCAACTTAGGAGCGCGCGGGCCGGCCCGACGGCCGGGCCGGGAGGGAGGGGTCGCCACGTCGCGCCGCCGGGCCGCCACAGCTCGCCAGACGGCCAGGGACGTGGGGTCCGCGCAGCTCGGCACGCTCGGCCGCCGCCCCTACATAGGAATGGGCCTTGGCACACGCCCCCCCACCCGAGTCCCACCCCGAAGGGCCGGGGCCGCGGCCGCGGTGACGGCGGGCGGCGGGCGAGCCGGCGCCGCCGGGGGAGGGGCCGCCAAGGAGACGTGTCACTCGCGGCGCGGCGCGGCCGGCCCCGGCACCCCGACGGCCGGGCCCGCGCGCCGCCACCGCCGCCGCTGCAGGGCCCAGCCAAGTTTCTTACCTGCAGGCGGAGACGCGAGAGGGAGAGCAAGAGGACAGGAGCCGGAGCCGCCGCCGCCGCCGCCGCCGCCGCCGCCGCCGCGGAACCGGGAGAGAGGAGCCGGCCGAGCCTCCACCAAGAAGCCGCCCCCAAGCAGCTGCAGGCGCCGCGACCCCGACGCCGTCCGCCCCGTCCGCCGTCCGCTCCGGCCGCTCGCTGGCTGCGTGCGCGCGTGTGGAGTCGTGGCACTTTCTGCCTCGGAGCTGGCGAACGGCCCCCACCGCCGGGATCGCCGCCTCCTGCCTTCCCCACCCGGGCCAGCCATTCATCGAACCGCCTCTCCTTATTGGTCCGCTACCCGCCACTCTGCTGGTCGCTGGCCAGTAAGGACGCGAATGGCCGAGCCGCGGCGGCGGCCATTGGACAAAGAGGAGGGTCTCCGCCTCGGCCAATGGGAGAGGGGAGGAGCTGCGGGGAGCCGCGGGGGGCGGGGCCGAGAAGGGGCGGGGCCGCGTAGCGCTGGTCTCTGCGCGGGGGCGGAGCGGGACCCGAGCGCTCCGCCCAGCTAGGGGTGGTCCCCGACCAGCCCCGCCCACTCCGGGCCTGGGCGCTGCTCGCCGTAGCTGACTCGGAATGGGCTCCGCCTAGGCGGGAGGCGGAAGGTTCGAATCCCAGCAGCCCCTGGCCTGCTCCTTTGGACGTCTCCGGTCTGAGGTGGCGGTGGGTGTCACCCTAAGCAGGATTGCGCAATTCAAGAAATTGCTTTATTCAAACCCAACTAAACTTTCCGGAAAGCAGAGCCCCCTGGGGTTTCTGGGTGGGAACACAACTTCTGCTGGGGGGCAACTCAAGTAATCATCTTCAGAGATTACAGTCAACACTAGAAAGATTTCCTTGAATAAAGGGGAAAATTGGGGTGAAAAACCCAGAAAGTGTACAAGGCATTGTGAACATCACACACCCTTTGTTTAGAGAGGGTGCACCCAAGGCTCAGTGTGTCTTTCTTGTTCTGGCCTAAACCACAGCCCCAGAGTAATAATTAATGACCCACCTTATGGACTTTTTATTCCAGGTAATGGGAAAGGTGAAAGGTTCTGACCCAAGAAAACTCACCTATACCCCAGGAAACTGAACAGTTGGCACTTCCTCATTACATGTGTTCCTTCCAGATATTACCCAACACTGTCTTCATAACCAAATTTAATTAAGTTAACTGTAGGCTTAGATTTTAACCATTATAACAGTCTCTTAAAACTAATCAGCCAGATCCAGTGGTGCAGACCTGTAATCCCAGTTACTCAGGAGGCTGAGGCAGATGGATCCCAAACTGGAGACCTGCCTGGGCTATTTAGCAAGGCCCTCCCTTAGAATATAATGTTAAAAGGGCAGGGTGTGTGGCTCAGTGGTAGGGGACTTGCCAGGTTGCATGAGGCCCTGAGTTTGATCCATAACACTGCAAGAACAAAAAAGTAACCCTTCAGCAGTGGTGCAGGTCTGTAATCCCAGTGACTCAGGCAGGAGGATTGCAGTTCAAAGTCAGCCTCAGCAATTTAGCGAAGCCCTAAGCAACTCAATGAGACCCTGTCTCTAAATAAAATACAAAAAGGGCTAGAGATGTGCCTCAGTAGTCGAGTGCTCCAGAGTTCAATCCCTGGCACCAAAGAAAAAAAGACAAAAACTAACCCTTCAAACTAGAGCCAAAGCCAGTTTCTTTGAAATTTAAGTTTCTAAGAGGCCAAAAGGGCTGTGACTGTCTATCTGCCCACACCACTCCTCTCATCTTTGTGGTTGCAGAATTCTCTGCCTAATATCTATTTTTTTAAGACAATTTCTCCACAAGCACCACCACCATTTGCCATTGGTACTATACTAGTTATTGTTAGAAAGAAGTTGAAAATAAAAACCTTTATGAGGGAATAAAGAGGAGTTAGGTTGAAATTAAACTATTCATTTCTATTTTCAATCTCAGCAGTTCCTTAGCACATTAATGATTAATCAATGGGAATTAACCTGGATTAGCTTTCTATGCTCATTTTCTTCAGTGAACCCTGGCTTGAAATAAATTCAAGAATTCCAACTTCTGGCTGGCAATTACTACCAACTGGTCTTACTTTACCACAGATAAGCCATTTAACCTCTCTGAACATCGATGTATTTATTGTAGGACAGTCACTTTCTTCTGGGTTTTAGGGAAGAAATTCATTCATTCATGGATGTTTGTTGAGAGACTGGGATAGAGCAGGCAGCCCAGAGTAATACATAGATCCAGTAAAGACCCAACTGCCCAGGGGCCTGTTCCCGTGTAGGAGCCTCCTTTATTTTGTTCACTGTTTAAGTTTTCCCAGCAGATCCTGGCACAAGGATATGGTTCAAAATTTCAATTGTTTCTTACTATTCAAAGGAGATTTGGTATCCAGGACCACCACTCACAGATGTAAAAAAATCTGAAGATGCTCAAGTCTCATCTAAAATGGCATAGTATATTCATATTTCCTACATGCATCCTTCCATACATGTTAAATCATCTCTAGATTACTTATAATATCTAATAAAATGCAAATATGATATAAGTGGTTGTTATACATTTTGTTTACGGAATAATAACAAGGAGGGGAAAGTCTAGATATTTAATATAGATGCAGGTTTTTTCTGAATTTTGTTTTTTATCTTCAGTTGAGTATGTGGGTGCATAACCTGTGGATAGCTCTGGAAGGCAACTGTAATTCATTTAGAGATGATTATAAGAAACACTGATGGATAAATAGGATAGGAAGGAGCCAGTAAAGAACACAGTATCATGCACTTAACTTGTTTTGTTTTTTTGTTTTTTTGCAGGGTTGGGAGTTAAACAGTGATTGAACCCAGGGGCACTTAACCATTGAGCCATATCCCCAGTCCTTTATATTTTTTTTTATTTAGAGACAATGTCTCACTAAATTGCTTTAGGCCTCCCTAAATTGCTGAGGCTGTCTTTGAACTCACAAATCCTCCTGCCTCAGCCTCCAGAGAACTGGGGTTACAGCATGTGCCACCACACCCTGCGTCAAAGAGAGTAACTTTTGTAGGCTGCCAGGGCTTGGTGTCACTGGAGATGCTGGGAAATGATACAGAACACACATCAGAAATGTCCCACCAGAGGGATAAGGACATGGTTGTTTTGCACTCCCAGTCCTTGTTGGTTAAGGGACTTTAACTCACCCTACCCCTTATCAGCCAGAGAAAGCCTTGCAGAAAAAAGTTCTTGATAGAATGGTGAGTGCCAGAGGGTGTGGGAGGGAGCACCTTAAAGCCTTCCACATGGAACCAGTGCCTGCCACAGCACCTGCCTGCCACAGCACCTGGTGTGAATGGGTAATTTAAACACAAAACAATATTTCTGTAAATATTGTCCAATGAATGATAGGATCATGAAGTCTCTAGGAGTAAGTGGTATTTATTACAAAAAGAGGCTCCCTATCTGTTCCTCCCCCTAATTTAATATTTGGTTCAGCCTCAATACAACGTTCAATTCAGGACAGAAGGAAGAGTGGCCTCCTCTGAGCTCTGCTTACTGCAATCCCTCCCCACTCATCTTCTGCTACCCCCAGTTATGCTCTAGAGACTCCCACCTGCAGCTTCATCTTCCTCAGACATCTTTTGAGTGGAGAAACTGACCTCCCTCAGCCAAGCTCTATCAGAGCTGGTCAGCCTCACATCCCACCTTATGGTCTGATCCTCATGGCCACACTGCTGTACCTGTGGAGTCCCATCTTTATCCCTGCACAATCTCATCAGCTCTCCCAAGGTATAATGGGAAAAACCATAGTTATCCCCTGGACTAGATGTTGGGGGCAGTAAGAGGCATCTCCTCAGCTCTGATCTTTCACCACAGTCCAGAATCTGCTAAATCACACAACTCACCAGCAGCACAAGGAAGATTCCTTCTGTGACCCAGACTCCAGGTGCCATCTGCTCAGTGTCAGGCTTCAGGCTCGAGCCTAGGAAACAGGTCCTTTCCATTCCCAGATGGCAGTCCACTGAGGAGCTCTCTGGTGTGAATGATGATTTAAACACAAAAGAAAGAGAGGACCCAGATGGGACAGGTGCTTTGGGCGGAGGGGTTCCTTCAGACACAATGGAGAGGGAATAAACAGGGGCTCAAGGGAGACATTGAAGGTAACCAGGTCCAAAGTATGCCCCTGGTGAGGAACAGCATGATGCACGTGGGACAGCTATCTGGAAAGACCTCAGGGACAAAGGAGAGGATAGGAAGAATTATTCCCCAAAGGTGATCATAAGGGGAATAAGGGAACTGTTTTGGAATGATATAAATTAAATGTTCCATATCTTGATTATAGTAATGGTCACATGATTATAGCAATACTCATCAAATTGTATACTCTTTGAAAGGCTGAATTTGGTTTGTAAGAAAAATTATGATTAAATCACCTAACTGGAAAAAAAAAGATGCATTAGACTTTAGTTGTACATTTAAAACAAAGCATTCTTATTAGGAAAAATTAAACATGAGAATAATTGCCTAGTATAGTCTATTAATCCATGATAGTACTTTACTTTCTCTACCAAATTGCAAATATTGTTTTAAAAGAATAAGTAGAGGGCTGGGGATGTGGCTCAAGCGGTAGCACGCTCGCCTGGCATGCGTGCGGCCCGGGTTCGATACTCAGCACCACATACCAACAAAGATGTTGTGTCCGCCGAGAACTAAAAATAAATAAATTTAAAAAAAAAAAAAAGAATAAGTAGAAATGGGGCATAGTAGTGCATACCTGTAATCCCAGCAACTCATCAGGAGGATGGCAAGTTTGAGGCTAGCCCGGGCAATTTAGTGAGACTCTGTCTCAAAAAGAAAATAAAAAGGGTTGTGCAAAGATTACAGAATGTACTCACATAAACTAAGACAGCTATGATGTCACTAGATGATACAGCCTTATGGGATCACTCTTATGTGTGTGATGTGTCATTGACTGAAATGTTCTACGGCTCAGGACTGTATTGTTCTGTAGATCCAAAGTTTCATATTGAAATCGAGGTTGGCAAAAGAATTTAGAAACCTAAGCATGCCAGAGCAAGGTCAAATCCCAAGAACAACAATGGTCATACATAACATATAGAGCTGGGAGCTGCGTGTGGATGGTGACAGGAGAAAGCCAATGCTTGA